AAAAAAAAAAAAAAAAGGAAAATGTAGTCTTCAAGGGAAATTTATGTTTCAAGTGGACTGATCTCATAAATATAACATAGTTTTTAAGGCTTGAAAGGATGCTTAGGCTTGTCATTTCTGTTGCGAGCTTCACAGCCAATTGTTGGAGTGCTGGGCAAGTCCCAATTCCCCAACCCCAACGGGAGCGACGTGCGGATGGGAGAAGCACAAAGGAAGCGAGAGACTTTTTTCAGCAATCGTTTTTGCTGGCGTAATCATTTCAAACATTAAAGAGAGATCTGCCTTTTGAAAACAGGAATTCAAATTTAATTTTTTAAGAGACGCATGAAACTTTTAGCGCTTTTCTTTTTTTAACTTTGGAAGAAACCGAGTCCTCCGAGCCTGCTGCAGACGGGTAGTGCTTTGGTATTCTGAGGCTGTTCCCCAGAAGAGCCTCTCATCTCATAGGTCAGCACTGAAGTTTGCATTAGTACACTGCAGAAGGAGATTTTAAAAACAAATAGCAACACTTTCTTCTCAGCATAGCAGTCTAGCAAACTAACCCTTCGCGCCTGCCCAGGGAAGTCTGCCTAACAGCTTGACAGCTCCCAGGGCTTCCCGGGCTTTTAAAGCAAGCTTAAATAGGCACCTCRGGCTGAAAGTTGAGCATACAGATTTTTGGCACAAACTTTTAGGCTAAATAGCCAGAAACCTCCGACAGTTTTAATTAGGCCGAAGCCGCATTTCATGCTAGAATTTAATGCAGCCTGAAAGGTTTTCCCTCTTTTTCCTTTCCCGCCGCCTGCTCCCACGAAGCCCCGTCTCTGGTTATAGCATCAGAAGGCAGCGCTAAGTGGGGCGATGCTGGAGCAGAGCTGCCGCCTGTCAAAGGAGGGGGAAGCGGTCCCTGTACCAAACAGCGTGTCTGCCTGGCTGCGTTTGGAAAATCAAAGCCCTCCGGCACGCGCCTGTTTTCTGGCCGTCACGTTGCACCTTGTCAAGGCTCAAAGCGGAGGAGTTTGCAGCCGCTGCCTGCGAAGTGGCTGTGAGGAGCAGGTGAGGCGCGGGTGCCGTCCGGGGCCACCTTCGCCTAAAGAGCCCTGCGAGCCGGGCCTAAGTGGGCAAAGCCAGAGCAGAGTCAGCACGTGGGACCCTGCCGAGCGTGGGTGCCTGACTGAAAGCACAGGGTGACGCGGAGGAAACATCTCGCGCCTCTCAGGGAGCTGGTGGGTGCTGTTTTCCGTGGCATCCGTAATTGGAGGCGGATGCTTCATTCAGCCTCCCGGTAGTCCAAGATCCCACAGCACTAGTGAAATGCCGCCGGAGTGTGCAGTGTTGCGCGTTAGGAGCGCCAGGACGAGCCTGTGACGGGTCACTGGTGTAACCCGTGTGTGGGAGGACGGCCTCCGCGCCGAGGCTCGCAACCGAAATGACAAGCAATGCCGGTCGCAGGAGGGGCCAGACCTTTCTGCCTTAAAAACCAGCCGCTCGGCTTGAAACTCCGCCGCGTTTGTCCGCTTGGGGCCTTTTCCCGTGAAGACTGGGCTTTCTTTCCAAGCTTGTGTTGCTCGAGTGTGTATGGAGTATACCAGGTGTTTATGTATGTTGGCCATTTGTTCTTACCAATTGGAGTGAGCATGTCTGTGAATGACTAGAAATGCATGGGCATGAACTAAAGCCAAATGGATTTTCTCCAAAAACAACTTGAAATGAATTGGAGGGAGGGCGGGGGGGCCACAGCAGATTGAAAGCAAAGAAAATGCAATGGAAGGCTAGCGTGGAACCAGCACGATACCTCAATCTGGGAAAGGCTTTTCCAGTAACTGAATTTTTTGGAGTGTATCCTAGAGGACTGGGGGAAAAGGAGTCCTGTATGTGTATGCATGAACAAACGGTAGCCAAGTCCCTGCCATTCCCRTTCCCGTACGGAATGGAATTAACAGCAGCAATGCATGAGTGACGTAAAGCACGAACATTGTTAACTCTTTTGTTTCCAAGTGAGAGCCTAACTGGATTTTCTGATGCACTTTCTCCTTTCTCTGCACTGTTCATTGCCAGCACTCCAGTAACAGCATGGTCATGGCCAGCAGGAAGGCTTGTGCTTCTGCTGCGCTGCCCTGCTCTGGGGTTGCTGCGCGTGAGCCCTTCTCYCCTTCCCYTTCCCCTTCCCTTTCCCTTCCCTTCCCGAGGGATCGGGCGCCGCTCCCTGCCCCGGCGCTCGGGACCGCGCCCAGCCCCACGGCGCCCTGCGCGGAGCGGCTGCTTTTTGCCCCGTCCCCTTTCTCTCTCRCCTCCTCCCCTGCCCCTGCCCTGCGACAAATCCAGGTGTAAGTGCGAGCAGCTCAAAAGCTATTACCGAGCCCTGGCCCTTCCAGCATTTTTTTTTTTTCTTCCCCCCCCTCTCCCCAGGACTATTCCGCTAATTTTTGCTGGTTTCTTTTGCTACAGCAAAAGTACTGAGACAATTCCATAATTTTTTTTTGTTTTTGTTTTTTTTCCCCCCAACTGGACCGCAGCCTGCTGTWAGGACAGCCCCTAAATGGCCTTTTAATGTTTTGAAAGATCCCCGGAGAATGCCCATYGCAATTAGTTGCCCTTGCTCCATAAGTCGTGTGTGTATATGTGTTTGGGCAGCTCCTCACGCATACACTAAAGCTGCCGATTCCTGCTCAGGACGTAGGTGCTCAAAAGACACGTTGGGGCCYCCGTGTCTGCAGGACGGGGAGCAGAAAGCTGCATTGCAGCCCCCAGGATGTTTCTGTTTAATGGTGGGCAGAACTTCTGCTAATCCTGATGAAGAGAGAGGGTGAGAAGTAGTCCTCTGAAGCTGGCAAAGCAGGAAGCCCTTCCTAAAGATTAATATTATCAAAATACAGCRGACAGGAAGGAAGAGAAAATGTGTTCTCCATAGCGTGATGTAGGGAAGTCCCTTTATAACCAGAAGGTGTTCCCAGCAAGGCCGTATGGATTTCTCCTTGTGAGCCTAAGGTTTTGCATGACGTACTTAACACTGCAGGGTTAAGCTCTGCCTTCCCTCCCTGCCCRTGCTCGCTCAGCCTCTGGGCTTGGCTTTACGCGGGCTCTGGCCGAAGCCGGGGCAGAGCCTGGCCGCCCTGCACGGCGGGCAAGGAAAGGTGCCCAGGGCTTTCCACGGGACTGGTACCGGGCAGTTCCCCCAACCCCTTCTCCTTTAAAACTCTCCCCCTTAGTAGTGCAACTGGCAGTGAAAATGCCTCTAAAGACATAGTGCGGAGCAGAGCTGTCCTTGGGGCAGCGGAGGAGACCGTCCCCAGGAGCGGTGCACGGGACGTGCCGGCCCGTGTAGCCTTGTGCCAGGCCCGGCACAGAGCCCTCCGCCATCAGCGTGCCCGGGCTGAGCCGAAAGCCAAGGTGCATTTTGCTGCAAGCTGAGCGCTGGCCGMGGCGGCGGTGCCGGCGCCGCTCCTCCCCGGGACGCGAGGCGGGAGCTGCTGCGCCCGGCTGCCTGCGCGCGCATGCACGAGCTGCAGCGCCTTCGCTGCAGCCAGCGCGCGGCGCAGCGCGGCGCAAGCTTCCCTTCCCCTTGCTTCAACGATGGCGCAGCTGCCCTCGAATAGACTCTCAGCGGAAGCGGAGGAAGGAAAGGGGCCTTGAATAGCTGATATGAAAGTTTAATGAGAAAAATCAAGAAGTAATTTACCACATATTTAAAATGCCTCACAACACGTTCGAATACTGCTCAGTGACATTTTTAAGTGTACCAGGTGCAGGTAGAAACTGAATTGTTGAGTTTTCTTTTGAAAAAAAGAAAAGGGTCTATTTTTTTGCTTCATAAAAAATGCAGCGGTGCCCTTTCTCGTTGCTGAGAAAGTGTAGCTCCTTTCAAGGGAAAGGGAAGGCGGCACAGAGGCCGTTTTAGGCAGAGAGCAGGCTGAAAGGCCGCTCTTCAGAGCCCGGCTTGGCAGGTCCAGGCCTTGTGCGAGTCGCCCTTGCCAAACCAGGTGGCTCCCCGGAATCCTGCGCTGCCGCAGAAGCCAGAGCTGTGGCCGCTAATCCAAAGGGCTCCCACTTTAGGGGAGGATCCGCAGCAGCCTCCAGGTGAGCTGCTGTATTTGGAGCACTGTCGCTGCAGACGAGCTGCGTCTCGCGGCCGCTCCGCGGGCCGCTTGCCGTGTCCTGGCCGTGACCAGTTTGCACGTTGACGTAGCCGGGCGTTCAGCGAGGGCGCAGGCGGCGCCCAGGCGGCCGGCTCTGCTSAGCGGAGCCCTCCCGTTCGCGGGCACGTGCGGCTGCTCCGGCCCTCGGCACGGGGCAGTGTAAGKGAAGCCGGAGGCGGCCAGCCTGTCSCCRCCCGCAGCGCTGCCCGGCCCCGTGCCACGGCCAGTGTCCTGCCAGCCTCACTTGCCCTCACTTGTCACAACTAACAGTTCTCTTGTCCGACTGCTTTATCAGCTTTGAGGATAGCTGCCTTTTACACAGAGAGATCAAATCGGGGAAAGAAATGAAAAAAGGCCCTGTTCGATCTATTCGCAGAAGATACAACCTGCATTCTGCACGTGCAGATGCCCGAGCTTTGAAAAGTGATCCACGAGTTTCCTTAGTGCAAAAGTTAGATGCTTCTTAATGCTGCCCCAAAAGATGAGTTTCTGTTGAAAACTGGAAGACTGTTTTGCACCAAGACCTATGCATAAGCTAAGCACATCCAGAGTAAGTTGAGAAATTGCCCTAGTTTGTGAGTKTAAAGACTGAGTTTAGACATTTTTGCATGCTGCTATGAATGAGTGATTATAATTCACCTACATGTTTCATGTGTTAACGGTGCAGACTGAGGAATGTTTCTGATAGTCTGTTAGCAATAACGCAAATCATTGGAGAACTGCATTGCAAGTTAAATCTGCTCAAGCCATCGGAAGATGGCAAGTGTTTGACTCACTGTTTTTCTCCCAAGAAATTCATCCTCAGTTCTTAAGTGTGTTGTTTTTGTCACTGGAGGAATACCAAGAAAAATGAGTTTGTTTTTACTTGTAAGGCTTTACTCAGTTGCCAAATTCCGCAGAGGAGCTGGACTATGGGGATCTCTCAGGTAAGGGCTAGTCATTAGGTAAAGCACTACGCTTAAATCTAGATACCGGTTCCACTGTGATTTCTGCGTCTTGGCCATTTCGCATTGTATAGTTGCTGTGATGYAGTCGCTACTGGAATGGGAAGGCTCTCCACGTGCTGCTGCTACGCTGTTGGGATTTTCCTCCTCTCCTTGGCATTGGCACTCTCTTACATAYAAAACATACTTGGAGAAGGAGTGGGAGGTATGCAAACGAGAGCCATTGATTCTTGGGGCTGTCTACGAGCTGCTGCGACCTTTAATGGGCTTGAGACGATTTTGGAGCGCTAATTTCGAACTGGCTGAGCTGCAAGGGTCGGTAAAACCGCCCGGTGCTGGACCCTGTGCAGCAGCTGTCCATGGAAACGCAGCGTGCCCTAACCCAAGCGTGCTTGCTAACTCGCTCTAACCCGGCTCCAGAATGGGCATATAAGGAAGGCCCCGGGGGCCCGGCATCCGAGGCAAAGGGCGCTGTGGCCGGAGGGGCCGGCGCGGGTGGGTGCCGCAGCCTCCCGCGGCGCCGCCTGCATCCCCGTGGCCGCAGGAGCGGGCCCCGTGCCCGCGCCGCGCTCGGCCGCCTGCCCGCGCCTGCCTGTGACGTGGCTCTGGCTGCGGCCGAGCTCTGCGCCCCGCTCTGGGGCACAGCCCGCCCTCCGGCCGCCCGGCAGCCCTCAGTAACCCCCGAGGGGGCTGGGGGCCGCCCTGGCCGCCGAGGGGCAGAGGCAGCTCCCTGCCGGGAGGGCCCCCTGCATCCCCGAGGGACTGCAGCCCCGCAGATGCCTTTGCCTCGGATGCCTCCGCCTGCCTCCCCGCCCTCCTCAGCAGCGCCTCGTCCTCGGAGCTACTATAGGTATGATTTGGCCAAGGGGTCAGAAATGATTGWTTGATTGATTGATTGATGTAGTATGTCTTCTAACACGTGAGCGATACTAATGATTGTTATTGCAGGCCCGGGCCAGACCTCGTAGGTAAGAAGCACTAGGTGTCTGTTAAGTATCACTGTGCGGGCGGAAAACGACTGTTTGGCTCTGAAAAGCTTTGGTGGGGTTTTTTGAATTTTCCTTTTTGAACCAAGTACACCTTTTGGTGAATGAACAGGAAAACGGGCAACAATTCCCCGGCGGAATTCCTCAAAATGGGTGTGTGCTGGCAGTGCTGCGTGTCGCTGCGGCGGCTCGCCGGGAGCTCCGTGGCGGGGGCCCCGCGCAGCCTGCCCGAGAGGGGCCAGCGCTGGCGGCCCGGCGCTCGCTGCACGCCCCTCTGGTCCCGGTGCTTAACTCTTCAGTTTGGGTTCGTTCTGCTCCTGCTAAGGGCGCGTGTCTGCAACATTTGCCGCAGGGTCACGCGAGGCTGTCTGCCGTGCGTGTGAAGCCCCCTCTGCGCACTGACACACACCCATTTTGGAGCAGTGGTTCTCCACGGTGCCTTTTTTCCGAGTGCTTCCCGGTTTTGCCCGTTGCTCTCAGCTCYGTGTGAATGCCCAGAGGGCAGCGGCACCGAGCGGGATGTGCCCGTGCGGCTGGCCAGCAGAGCAGCGGTGCCGCAGCGCGCCGTGCTGTGCGCGGGGCCGGGCCCTGCAGCGCGCAGCCCCTTGCCCCTGCGTGAGAAACCCCGGTACGGGAGAAAGCCCGGTACGGCCGCGGCTGCGCGGCTGCCCGCCCCGCGAGCCCTCCCGCTCGCAGCACAGGTGAGTGACGCAGCCACGGCGAGCGCGGGGACGCATTGCCACGGCGCTGCCGGCAATAGCCGCGACGGGGCCGCCGCGCGAAYGCCTTCGGAGCTGGGAATCGCTGCTGAAATGTGCTGTAATGACCTGTGTTCGTCCTGCCGCAGTGTTTGCTCAGTGTGCTGTTCATTTCAGGTGCTCGTATCCTGCTAAGTGGTTCAACGGAGCCTCTGCCAACTGGGCAATTAAGTAATGCATCTGTTGCCTTATATCCAGGTAGCTAGTTGCCAGCGGTGTGGTACGTTGTGCCGGGTGAGCTGTGTGTGTGCCTACCCCTCCCACGTTCTGTTTGCAACAGAAAGATCCTACTGCATACAAGGGGGTTGTCCTGCCCCTCTGCAGCACGGAGCGCTTCACTCTTCTCCTCCAGCCTTTTCGCAGGGCGCCGCGTGGGACGCTCCTCGGCCCAGGCGAGGGACGTGCCGCGTGTGCACGCGCTTCCCTCTGTGGGGTGCACTATGGTCTTTCTGTTCTGCTCCCGAGTGTTGATGCCCTTCGTGTAGAGCACGGGAAATGGAGGAAGACCTCTGTAGCCTTTCCATCGCGTTTGATTAACTAATCAAAACGTGCTTAGCACCTTTGTTCAAGGGGGAAGCTGATTAATCAATCCCTATTGACTGTAAGTGKGACTCCATTTTCTAGCAGAGAGACGTCTGCAGAAACCACCCGTCAACATCGAGCAGCTGTCATAGCCAGGAAATTTATTAAAAGCAAATGCATTATTTTTATGAAGCGATCTCGAAATGGGTCACCGAAGGGGAGCGTATTGATTGAGGAAGGATGAACTCCTTGAATTTCTCTRGCTTAAATTAGACCCAATTCAATTACAGCGTGACAAGCAGGTTAACGCTRTTCTTGAGCGGCCCGTCGATAAATTGGAGGCGGGGCAGCGCGCTTCCCGCGGAACTGCGGGGAGGAACGACGGTATCCGTCATCCCGTCATCCGCAGGGGAGCGACTCCTGTCCTCCCGGCTTGTAGAGACTTGGCACGTAATGACCACAGTGCCCGCTCGCAGCCCTCRGGACGTCTCCTCTGGGACCGCCGCGTTTCCTGGCCACCTTAGATGAGTGCCCAAAGCCGCTCGCGCAAGCTAAATTCAGGCACAAATCTGAAAAGGAGGCGTCACAGTGGCAACGTTGGCGTTGGCTTTCCTCCTGGGCTTCCAAACGACGAGCAGAGCGGGAAGGTTGCCTTGCCGCTGCTTTGGAAGCAGCCAACGGACTTTGTGGCAGGAGGGAATTACGGCCGGTAACGGAGCGGGAGCCATTTTCACATCCTAATTGTTCAAAACGGGAGCAGCAGGACAAAAAGTCGATGGCAAAGTTACAGATTCTTCCTAGAAACGAAGTTAGGTTTTCGTTTCCTGACGCCCCGTGATCCCTGTAGTGCATTAGCATCGGAGAGGCAGCGTGGTTAACGGGCGCACGCGTACGTACTGACGTTGCCCTACATCCGTAGCGTGCAATTACTTTTCCCCTAGAGACAGGAGGCCTCGCGGACAGAAATGCTGTGCAAGTGCAGCAATAAATCCAAATATGCCAAAATGAACGGCCAACGGACGTGTTCCCAAAAAGCTCCATCCGTTTGCTGCTTTCCCAGCACAAATGTGCACAGAGTGAGCGCCCGCGCTGCCTCGCATCCCCAAGCCGCTGAGAGAGGTCGGTGTGCGGACCGCGGGCTGGCGATGGGAAGGAGGCCCGGCGCCCCGAGCACCGGCACGTGCCGGGCTGCTCGCCCTGGAGCCGTGCTGCGCTGCTGCAGGTCAGGCGCTTTGTCCCCCATAGGTCTGCAGCTTGTAGCTCGCGYGCTGTTGAGATTTAAAATAGTGGTAAGCAACGGAACCCGTAGCCCGTCTGGTCTTGGAATCTGGCCRTGCTGCCACTCGCAGAAAGGGAGAGCTAGACCGAGTTATAAATGTTTGTACTATRTGACTGTAAAGCGTCAGTTATGTGGGATGTATGTGTACATATGTACGCATATATAGAGCGCCATCAAAGTGGCCTCAAACAGGCTTCTTTCCTCCCAATAGCGCGATAAAAAGCCTTCCGCATCGCAAACCCTGCGTTAAGTGTTTGACCCAGCACTTTGTGCGAGCAGTGCTATAACAATCTGCGGGCCTCTTTTCAGACCCCAGAGACAGTCCACAGTAACCCAACTATTTATAAACAGCTGCAGAAATTTTGAGAGACRTGAGCTCACGTAGATGTTACTTTTTCTTGCAAAGAAATGCAAGAGGAATAAAAAGCAGGGGGAGAAGCAAAGGGAGAACCTGCAGGCTTCGAGGGTGGCGAGGCAGGCGTGCTCTCCCCATGGAACGGTAGCCGGCGTGCCCGCGTGCCGTGCGTGCCTCCCCGCGACCTGCGCGGCCCTTTGGTGTGCTGGACTGCCGCTCCTGTGTGCTCCCCACTGCTCCCAGCGGGACGCGGAGGTGGCAGCCAGAGGTGGCAGCCGCAGGTGGCAGCGCTCCGGCTGCGTTTCCCCGGGCCGGGAGAGCGGGCGGGTGAAGCCCTGCCCCACGCCTCCCCTCCTCTGCTTGGGGCCGTAGATGGACAGAGGGGACCCGGCCTCGAAGGGAGGCCAGCAGGGGCTGGGCCCCAAGGAACTTGCTTGCTGTGTGCGTTGTGTCCTGGGAGTCGCACCTTCTGCCTGAAAGGAAATCTGCAGGGATTCTGCTTGAATACTGCAGGAGCTTTCGGCTGATTAAGGTAGACTTTGGGTTAAAGTAGCGAGCCAAACCTCACGGAAAGCTGCCAAAGTCTCRTAGTGGCCCCGATTGTGACGGGGCTCCTAGCGCCCTGCTTTGCGTTGCTCGGCCTCTCGTGCAGAGAAGTGCTCGGCAGCATCGCTGCGGCTCCAGCCTCCCCCCAGCTCAGGGCCCAGCCGCGGTGTTTGTCGAAGGGCAGGAGCACRGCAGCTCCAAAGCAAGCGGCTGCTTTCCCCGCACGTGTTTTCGGCGCTGGGAGGCGGGCCGTGCCCATCGCTGCCGTTGTCCTTCCAGGTGCGTTGCTGTCTCCCAAGGGAGCGTGCCGGGCGGGCTGGCGGCGCGGGCGGCTGCGCGGAGCAGCGCAGGGCTGCCCGCAGCTCCTGCCTTCGTGTGCCTCCCCGCCGCCTGCTCCCGCCCGCGAAACAGCCACAGAAACAAGCCCCAGAAGGCACAGAAAAGCCCCCAATGTTCGATTTAAAGGCCAGCATGCTCCAGTATATATTAACATCTTAATGGGAAAGCTCTGCAWGTATACATTTACTACTCTCTGACAAGAGGGAATTAAATGTCAGAAGGATTTGTAGCATCTATAATTGAATTGGTGCTGAGAAAAGCAAATCTTAAAGAAGAATAACATATTAGGATTAGCAAATAATGTGGCATTTTGTCAGCTCCTGCCATCTAGTCTGTTCCCTCTTCAGTAATAAAGTTGTGATTTCTTTTTTTTTAATCATAGATAGGAAGYGGGAATAGCTGTTGTGAACAGGAGACAGCATTTTAAAGCAGATGCCTCTTTTTTAAGGTCAACTTTCTTTCTTGCCACGACTTTGGGGAATTGCTCCCGGCTCGGGAGACCTAACGCTTCCCCAAGAAAGGGTGCCCGGCATGCGCTGTAAGCCGTTATCTAGYAAGTTTGGTGTCCGTGTGTGAGGTGCGAGTGTCGGGCTCGCTCACAGCAGCGGGCGACACGGCACGGGGCAGGCGCGGTGACACGTGGCCGGTGCCGGGCAGCGCTGTGCCGAGGGCGGGCGCCGGGGCTGCGGCCGCAGAGCTCCCCGGCGGGTGACGGAATGTGCTGGGCTCAGCCGGGAGGCGGGGAGCAGGTGCGGGAGCGTGGTGTGCTCTTAGATAATGCTGTTATAATGGACCGGTACGTATGGCTCTTCTCGGGCAGCAGCGCTGAGGGCGTCTGCAGTTAGACGTGGAGGATCCGTCCTCCCCGGTGGCAGTCGGAGCTAAAAATGAGCCTATTATCTTCTAAGGCAGCAGCATGTTGCGGAGTGCCTCTCAGCGTTGCGATTACGTGGCCTGCACCACCACACAGCCTCAGCGTATGACCTTTAATTTTTACTTAATATRTAAACTCCAAGGTGAATTATTTTGCCATGCACATAATGAAATCACCTTGCAGCTTGCACTTTGCAAAAGCCTGTTCTAATAGAAGTAATGGTGGTGCATGTCCTGCTGGAAGAAATCATATTTAATAAACTCTCCCGGCCCGAACTGTTTCTCCTGCTTTGTGCAGAAGTCCCTTCTCAGGGAACCGGGGGCTCCGTACTGTTGACTTAATTGCGAATTGGCCAGAAACCACRAAGGAGCTGTCAAGCTTGCAGCTCTGAGCGCAGCATTTCACATAATACCTGCGTCGCTGCAGGCCTGATTGGCTCTAATTGTCCCTCCGTACAAGTGCCCTGAGGCTGCTGTCCCTGAGATGAGGGGCACCACGGGAGAAGTGCAGGTTTTGTGTTGCCAGAACAAATTTACGGCAATTAATGGGAAAAGAAAAAAAAAAAAAAAGAAATAAACAAGAAGGCGAGTTGAGGTGAAAAGCTTGCTCAGAGCACGTTGCAGAGGCCGAACAAGGCGCACCTGTTCTCGCCGGCTGCTCCACGTGCCAGCAGCAATCAGAGGGGGCATCTGTGCCAAGCAGCCGGTGCAGGGCACGAGGGGCCCGGCCGGGTGCCCTCGGGGACGGGCCCGGAGCCGGGATGAGCAGACGGCCCTCGGCGCGTGAGCGGCCGGGGCTCGCGGGGACCCCGGGGGCTGCCCGCTCGCGGGATCCTGCTCGCAAAGCAGCGCGTGCCGGCGAGGACCGGCCGCGCCGCCGCCTCCCGCTGCCGCCGGCCCGGGCCTGCCCTGGGCTGGGAGGCTGCGGCGGGATGCTGCGGCGGGATGCTGCGGCGGGATGCTGTGGCGGGCCGCCGCGCCAAAGCGGCGCCTGCCTGCACTGCCTGCAGGCAACCCCTTAGGGCTCGCGCCGGGCTGTAGCTTATCAGAAAAGTTGCTGAAGGCGGTTCTTTTATCTGGAGCTAGCAGGCTGCTCCGTGTTTTGTGGCTTAATGTGCGCCTAGGYTTGGCCTAATTGAAGCGGGCCGTGCCACGCCTTGCCAAAGCTCCTGCTTTGAAACGGTTACTGGAAGGAATAGAGGAAGGGCTTTCCGTTTGGGGTTTTTTGGTTTSTTTTTTGGAAGTAAAGTGTTTTAATTGAAGGCCACTTTATAGGGCTCTGGGTCGCCGCTTATTTACTTCCGTCCCTCGGTCCTGACTCTTGGAAGAGAATTGGAGATATCGATGGCAAGTATAAATCGCGGGCTCCCGCTGGAAAGCATTGTATCAGGTTGCAGCTCAAAAGAGCACCATTACCTTTAGCTGTCACGCATCTGTACGCTTGATCGATAAACTTCAAATATTATTAGAGGTGGAGGCTTCAGAGCTTTGCTCTGTTCTTTGGAGAGAGACGGGGATAAATCTTTCTTAAAAATGGACTTGAATTTGCACTCTCAGTCTTCCCGGTGAAATGCATTTCTCTGAGGTGCCTGGGCAGCTGCATGCGGGGCAGATTTATAGGCCATGTGCTTCTTGTAGTGAAAGATTTAAATGGTAAATCCTTCGCATATGACTTCACAAATCATGTAAAGTTAAAAGATTTTTACCGTTTCTGTTGCTGCTGTGCTTAAATTGGAAGGTATGGCTACTAAATCATTTTAATGGAGGTGTCGCGCTTGAGTCACCAAAAAAAGGGAARAAGAATTAAAAAAAGGCGAGCGCGCGCGCCAGACAACGGTTTAGCTTCTATTCCCAAATGTTAATGTATTAATCAAGGGGAGAATAATTGTTTCTTGCCACGTTATAAATCTCCGTTGCCACTAGAATTGCAGCGAGGCTTGATGTAGTTGCTTTCTTAAATTAAAATTGTTTACACTGCTATCCATTCATTTTACATGGGCATAGCTCATTCCGGGTTCGTTTTGGAGTTGTTCCTCAGCCAAATAAGTCATTCCTCTCCTGGGTGAGGGCATCCTGAGGGAGAGATGCTTATAAAAGAAAATTAATCGCATGGCGAGGTGTTAAATAAATAAAGGAAAGCAGTTGGAGGCAATGTGCAATTATTGCTCGCTCCCTGCCTTTGAAGAGCCGTTTATGGCCCRCATTACGAGTGTTCTCTCTTCACGCCTCCTGAGCTGCTCGGCGCCGAAAGGGCTGCGCTTACGGCCTGCCCCGGGGCGCAGGGTTCCCTCGGCGGGCGGGGGGGACGAGGCCGGGCACGCGCCGAGCAGCGCGGCCAGGGGGGCTCGCGCTGCGGGCAGCGGCAGCGCCGGTGTGCTGCCTGCTCCCTGCCGTTTGGGCGGCTCGTGCTTTGTGCGGACGAGCGCTCTTGCTCCTCCTGCCCGCCCGCTTGCGGAGCGCTGTGCAGGGGAGTCGTGCCCACGCCGGGTCCCGCTGCCCGCCCCTCTCCTGGCCGCTCCTTCCCCGCTCTCCTGGCTTGCTGCGCGCGCGTAGCCTAGTGCTGCCGCTGCCGCCCGCAGCGCCCGGCTCCCCGGGGCGGCCCCGGGCCGAAGGGCGGGCTCCTCTGCCTCGGGAGCCCGGCCTTCGCGCCGCGGGCGCGGGACGGGGCCGGCGAGCCTGCGCGCAGCTGCGCCCGCGCGGGCCCGCCTCAGCCCTGCCCGACTCTCACTCCTCTTCTGGTCTCAACAGATTCTCGTGCAGGTGAGGAAGGGGCAATAAGGACGGTGGACCATGCAGTGGTTGGTGGCGTGGTGGCCGTGGTGGTGTTTGCAATGCTTTGCCTGCTCATCATTTTAGGGCGATATTTTGCCAGACATAAAGGTAAGACGAAGCGCGCGGCGCCCTTGGCATGCTTCTCCCTGCTTGCGATGATGCCCTGCGCCGTAGGCGGGACCCCCGGCCTGCTCTGCTCTGCGGAGCCGGGTTCCCAAAGGCCCCTAAATGAGGAAGGAAAGCACAAAGCAGGAGCTCTGCTGTCGGAGCCCTGCGGMGAGCGGCGCGGGGCTTGGAGAGGGCCGAGGGCGCGCGGGGCCGTGCGGTGCCAGGCTGGGCAGTGCCGAGCGGGCGCTGCCGCCCTGCCCGCCGCTTGTCCCCGCCGCGGCAGTCACGCGGCTTCCCTCCGCTTGCAGGCACGTACTTCACGCACGAAGCCAAAGGAGCCGATGACGCCGCGGACGCCGACACGGCCATCATCAACGCCGAGGGAGGCCAGAACAACTCGGAGGAGAAGAAGGAGTATTTCATCTAGAGCGCCGCGCGCGCCCGCCCGCCCGCCCGCGAGGTGTCCAACCGCGGACAGCTACTGCCCAGCGAAGCCACTAAGAGACAGTGAGAGGGGAGGTTGCAACCAGCTCGTGTCTTTTCTAAAGAGAAAGCAAGAAGGTGGAGAGCTGTGAGACCGGGAGGCTCCGGGATTTGCTGTGTAAAAATATTCTTCGTAAAGTACACTCTGCTGTTCGACACCTCACTTTGTTTGGGTTTCCTTTTTTTGGCCGAGTCCAGCTTGGATTTAGTTTAGTGCAGTCCTTCGCAGAGAATTCTGTGCCTTGTTTTACTTTGGTTCGTTGGGGTTCTCCTGCGGGGGCAGGACGGGGAAGCGGAGGGGCCTGTGCGCGATTGTTTCCTTTCTCCAGGCGTTTCTCCTCTTTCCCCTCTGGGTTTCCCCGCGGGCGGCCCGTGTCTGGAATTGCCTGCTGCGCCCCCCTGGACTAGGTTGGTTCCTTTAGAGGTTCCTTTCTCCTTTCGTTCCATCTTCACTGTTTTGTGCTCCCCAGTGGCTCTCATCAGAGGAGAACCAGCGCATGTGCGCGTTGATAGCAGGCGGTGCGGTGCAGCCCCCCTGCACTCCCTCGCGTGTTGCGGGGGCTCGGCGGCAGCAGCGCCGAGTGCTCCAGCGGCTGCGGGCTCGGTGCGGGGCTGCGGGGACCGCCCCGTGTCCCACGCGTGCCCCGCATCGCCCTCGGCCTCTTGCGCCCAAGCCTCGCTGCGCGCCCGTCCGCCGCGCTGTCCACTTGGCCTTACTGCCCCCCTAGGGCAAGGGGTGCCCTCCGGGGTGCGAGAGGCGCACCCAAGTGCGTTCCGCTTTGGTTTTTTCCCTTTGTCCGCGGCGCTGGGAAGGCAGTGGCACCCAGCAGGCGGGTGCCATGGGGTACACACGTTCCTGCCTGGAGTGCCCTGGGAAGCGGGGCCGCCTCTGCCGCAGGTGCCCACGGTGCCGYGAGCGGGGAACACGGCGGCAGCGGCCGGGCACCCACAAAGCCATAGCGACAGCGGCACCGCAGGGCGCAGAGCGGCCGTGGCGCGGCAAGGAGCTGCAGCGCGTTCCTGCCAGCACCCTTGGCTCCCCAAAGCGGCTCSGTGGCCGCGCCGCTGCGCAGAGCGCTGCGCTCAGCCGCGGCCRGCCTGGCAACCCCGGCGCGAACGCGCTCCTCTTTCAGGGCTCCGCGGGAGCGCCGTCTGGTGCTGCGCTCGTTGCTGAGTCACCGCTCGGGGCAGARGCAGTGCAGAGCAGAGCAGGAGTCCTGGGCAGGGGCCGCCGGCACAGGGAGAGCCAGCGCGCGGTGCAGCAGCCCTCTGTCCTTCCCCTTCCTCGCACAGGAGCCCGGCGCGGCGGGGTTCAGAGCAGCCCCTTCAGAGCAGGGCGGCCCGGGGGCGAGCCGCGGCAGCCCGTCGCACCGTGGTGAGAAGCATCCGCATGTCCGCGCTCGGGGGGCTTTTTTACTCATTGACCACAGAATCGGCACCCTGTTTTGGAACAGCCCATCTTTCTGTTTTGGAAGTGTACAGTAGTGCAGTGTTACCGATGTAACTTTGACTTAAAATGTTGACATGTCTCAGGTTCATGTGTTTTGATTGGTGTTTTCCGTCTCAGGTAGATTGCAAAATTTCGGCCCCACACATTGGAAAAAAGCATAAAAACGGAATAAAAAAAAAAGGCAGGAAATTATGAATTTTAGTTGTATATTGGTTTATGTATTTTTTCTTCAGTATACAGTGCACTGTTTGAAATGTATTGTTGAGTATTACTTTGTACAGCTTTAGATCATTAGGATTTTCAAGTGTGTGAAGAAAGAACAAACTTGTTTCAAGGGATAYTGCAAATGAAGGATGCGCAACCGATGCCGAACAACCTTGTTCTTTGTTCACCCGGCCTTTTTCTTTTTTCCCCTTAGGTCAGTTCTGTTTTAAGGTGTCCATGGACGATGTTACAATGTAAGAAAATACATATCCATATGTTCCCATTCACATTTTGTATTGGTTCATGTATACCATTTTTACAAAGAAAAAAAAAAAAGAAGTACTATAAAGTATCTGTCTTCTTAATAAAAAACATTAATGTTACGGAAGTCCGTGTAGCTGTGCCTGGCTGTGAGCGGCTCCGCGCGGCGCTGCGGAGCCGCCGGGGCAGGGGTGGACGGGGGCAGGACGGGTGCCCGGGGCGTCCTGCCCGCTGCGAGCAGCGACGCGGTGGCATCATCCTTCACGCTTCCACGCTGTGCACAGCAGCTTGCCTTTTAGGTGACGCTTGGAGCTATTCACCAGGAGAGGCCGAGGCCCACAGCCCTTTTCCCTCTGCGTCTAGGTAGGCACGGGAGAACGAGGTATTCCCGTTTATTTACGGTAAGTGTTCTGCTAGAGGAATAACTGCCTCCCGAGCAGAGAGCAGAAGCCTCCCCCGTGCGGAGCCGGGGCGCCCCGGTGCCGAGGCGGCAGCGTGCGCAGGAGGAGAGGCCGGGGATGCGACGGCGGCGGGGACGTGACAGCACCGCTCTTACGCCTGGGACGGTGCTGAACCAGGMGCGTCCGGAAAAACCGGGATTCGGAACTAGGAGCAGGCGGCCCTGGAGCCCTCAGCCGTGAAGAGCGTCGCCGGGCCGGCAACAGCCGCGCGGAGGGAAGGGCGCTGCAGCGGCGAGAGGAGCAGAGCTCGGCCGCGGCCACGGTGCCGCGTGGACAGGTAAAGCTCAACCGCGGCGCGGGGCACGAGGGCGGCGGGCGCAGAAACAAAGCGGGCGCCAGCCCCTGGAAACGGGCTCTGCCGCTTGCTCCGCTGCCTGCAAGGAGGCTGCGATCTGCGCCGCCTTGCAACGCGGGGCCGCAGAAGTGGGGGAAATGCGCGCTCTGCTAATAAATCTCTCTCAAACCCGGTCCTCTGCCCCGCATTAGCCTCCGGTGCTGGCCGAGTTCTAACCCTACCTATATTTTCTTGACAGTTCACCTGGAAACGCTCTTTTTGAAGAGCGTCGCCCTTTTAATGGCTCTCGCGATTGCGTTTTCTCTTGCTGGCTGAGTGGTCGTGGTACCTTGAGCAGTTTGATATATGCTTTGGAATCCCCTAAGGTGAGATTTTATCATCTGCGTTAAGGAGTTCTTGCTCTCCGGGGCTGTGAATAACGTCACTGCCTTGTCACACGCCTCTCACCTCGTGCTTCGCGCTGAGCCTCTCCCCACGTCCAACCCGTAGCCTGCTGCCTGTTACAGTGCCGGGAATTGCAGGCAGACCTTGCTTTCCGTCTGCGCCGTGCAGCCCCGCGGAGCAGGGCACGTGCGGCCTCGCCGGCGCGCTGCGGCGGCCCGCGGCTCTGCAACCCTTGCAGCCACGCCGGGCGAATGGGGCCCGTCTCGCGGTGCTCATCTGCCAAGGCACCGGCGTCCRCGCCCAGGAAACCTCAGGTAGCCGCGGGAGACATTGGAGCGTGTCGCGCCGTGCTAGGGCTCGCGGCCTCCCCGTTAGCATGCGCGGCTTCGCCCGCGCTCGTATCCCCGACATGATAGCCCTAAATCTTCCCTAAGTGATMGCTTCTCAGGTTAATTAATCTGCAGGCTTAAACTTGCTGTGAGCAGCAGGAAGTCCAGCCTGAAGTCAGCAACGTTACGATTGCATCTTCTAATACTGTTTATCCTGCATTAGTGTTTACTTAAGGAGAAAATTGATCTGTAATTGATATTTCAATCTTCCAGAGCTGATGGTGGGGGAGCCCGCTGCAGAAGGCTTTGATAGCAGACGAGTATTTAAATCCTGCAAAGGTAGGCGAGCGAACGCTGAAACGCGCAGCGCTCGCCACCCTGTGCCGAAGCCACGTTCGCTCTGAGCGTTGTGGCGCTTGAGGCTCGCTCCTGCCTTTCCTGTGCTCACCGTCTCAGACTGGTAAGACGTAACGCCTGCTTGTTTGCCTTGGAACACCGGGGCTCAGTCAAAGGCCGGASCTGAGAGGACTTCTCAGCACGGACTGGCCTCGGTGCAGCAGGCGAGGCACTCGGCGCTCCTTTCTCCYGGCATGTTGCCCTTCTCCTGACTTGAGGAGCTGTGGCTAAGAGGCAGCTGTGGCACTGACACTAGAAACAGCGCTCCCTCCAGCTCAGACAGAGAGACGCATCCCGGCCCCGCGGCAGCCGGGCGCAGGAGCAGAGCGGGTGAAGGACCAATTCAGGGACCAGGATTCCATGGGGAAAAGCATCTATGGAGGGCGATAACAAGGGTGCACGGGAAATGTGTGGCAAATGACAAGTGAGAGCAGCGTTGCTCCCAGAAAGCAGGGCTTGAAAGCGCCGCAGCAGCCGCCTGGGAGGCCATGCTGCTTTCCARGCCACCGGAGCTGCGTTTCTGCTGCTGCCCTTCGTGTTTGGGCTGTACAGCTGCTGCGTGGCAGCCATTCCTSATATATTTTATTCTGCGCCCATCGGCTCAGAAATTCCTAACGCGTAAGCCACTGCCAAGTCAGACCGAGCTGAGTTCTAGTCCCATTCTGTCCAGAGAGTTCTCCGTGGGGCAGATAACTCCATTGAAATACTATAAAGATTGTAGGAAACAACAGAGCGCAGGGCGACACTGTTCTCTGACGAATTTGCCAGATAACTGCTTAGCCGCATTCCACAACAGCATCGTGCGTGGTCTGCCTGGGAAGAGCATCGGGCAGCGAGGCAGGGCGGGCAGCGGTGCCGGAGCCCGTCGGGGGCAGCGGGGCGAGCGGCGCGGCGGCTGCCCAGTCGCTCCCGGTGCCGCGGAGCGGGGCCGGCACCGCACGGTGCGGCGCCCACGCGGCTGCTTGTCGCTGCCCGCGCACGCACGGACCCCGCACGTGCTGCTTTGAGCCGCGTTGTGGGGCACGTGATGCAAGCACCGTGGGGAGAAAAGGCCGCTGTCTGCTCTTTGTCACCGCAAAAACCACGGAGGCTCCTCCGTGCTTGGGCAGCTACAGGTGGCCTGCAGCTCTTCTCCGGGTGATGCTCAGTGCAGTAGGCAGCGTCGTTTACCCTGCGCTTGCCGTGTTGTGGAACGTGGCTGTGTGCGTGCGGAATGTGCCGCGTGTGGCTGCAGGCTGGAAGGAGCCCCTTTCCCTTGTCTTTCTCGCGGTTCCCGCGCTGCCGCGCTGTGGGGCTCTCAGCTGCGGGCAGGCACGCTCCGGCCGAGCGCTCCATGTGGCCCTTGGTGCTGCAGCCTGCCCTGATCGCAGCCCCGCTGCTGCTGCTGCTGCTGCTGCTGCTGCCCGCGGCGACGCGGCACCGCGGAGCCGAGCCCTTCGGCTGCGGCCGCTTCTCCTTGGCTCGCAGGGCGAGCGTGATGAAAGCGACTGGACGTCGAGGGCCCATTAAGAAGCCAGCAGTGAGCGCGGGCAGCGAGAGCCCTGCCAGCCGCGGTTTTTGCGAGAACAAATAAGCCGCGCGTTGGAGAGTTCATGATTTATTTATGGACATGTGTGGCTCATTCATAGCATTGCCCAAATCAGAGCTTTTCTCATTATTTCTACGTTTGCCAGCTCTTCTGCGCGGCGGASGAAATGCACTCGCTTTGCTCTGGGGCTGTTTACCTTCTGTGAATGYTGAGCAGGGCCCTTGCCAAGACTTTGGATTCAGCTCCTCCAATGGGCCAGCTATTTCCCCAGTCATGTGTATT